TTTTTTTAATTACGCAGATTTGATTCGAAGAATAGATATTCAGATCTTCTCCCGCGAAACAACGACGCGGCAAACGGGTCTGCGCGCGGGTTGGATTGTACTCGTAACGTTTCCTCGCGCGTTACAAGTTCAAACAACGGCACGGTTGAAACGTAAACGCGGTCTCTCGATAAACAGGGGAAACCATCGAGTCGGTGGTTTTCGGAATGGCTGGGATTCGCTGGCAGCGACGAAGGAATTCGCGAGAAACAACGGCGCTCAAAGGTGCCGCCGCTCTACGTTCCCCGCGTGCAGTTTCATTCGCGGTCGTCCCGGCTAATAAAACTTTCTGTTTCGGATGCATCGCGTCGGAGAACGCCACGAGATTTTCATCGGGTACTCCGCGGTCCGGGTCTGAAGATCGTCGTCGGTGGACAGATAAACGTGGCGAGAGCGGTGTCGCTCGTTCGGATTCAAAGAAGTGACCTCCGAAGCGCGGTAAGCTCTCATTTCGTGGTCCAATTAGCCGCGGTACGGGCGTCTAAAAGCTCACCGAGACGTCCCGGCTCAATCGGCCGAGCCAATTAGTGGTTTCAGCGTAAACCGGCTCGTGGACACTTTAACGACGAGTGCTCCGCGCGAGCTTCTTCCCGGCTTGTTGTTTCACCGCGCCGTTGCGTTCCTCCGTTTTTCCTCCACGTCGCGGCCGCGTTCGCGTCAGCGGGGAATCAAATTCTAGCGTCGGAAACGCGCGCGAGGAAGAGAATACCGTGTTTATTTCCTTTCGCGGAGAGAGCCAGGTGAGAGGCTCGCACGTCCCGTCGGGTCCCTAGACACCGATGAAGTTACTAAAAAGTGTCCTTCCGTTGGCAGAACTGAATCGATAGCGACTGTCCTCCTCCAGGGGAGTCTGCGCGCCGCGTTACCCACCGGCCTCATCGGTGTTTCGAGCTTCCAGGATGGGCTCTGTGTGCTTCTCATTTTACATCGAACCGGCCGCCCCACAGCCCTGGAAAATAAATAGGAAAATTCATCGTTGCTCAGGAGAGGGTGAAACGCCGGCGTATTGCTTTTAGAACTGCAGGCTCGACCGAGGAACTGAGTTCTGAGATTTCATCTCTGATGGATGGTCCGCGGAATCTTGTTGCCGGCATGCAACACACTATAATTATGAAATTTTAGAACAGCATGGGAAATTTGAGCGTAAGATAGATCGCTGGCGGGGACGACTTACGTGGCTGTTTCGAAATTGATGGCGTAAGGCCTGGTAACAGGATACGCGTGGAACTTTCGTTTCCTTGTTACATTCATCCGTTGATTTATAAAATTCGACGCCGCGATATGTTCATCCGTTATAATAGCTTCTATTAATATTAACGACATAAATCTTCGACGCTGGGGTTGTGCATACATATATTCGCAGGACATTTTCCAACGTTCATCCTTAACTCATTTCCTGCGGCTCCGTCTCTCTGCGCTATTCGAAGCTACTTACAATTCATCTCTCGCTACCAGCTTCTCCAGTTCGCGCACCGTAAAAGGACGTTAACTTGTTCCATTAATAAAACTGCTAATAACTCGCTCTTCCTTGTGCAGTGCGTCCATATCTTTATTACTTATTTACTTCGTTTATTTATCAGCCTGATTATCATTCGGAGAATACCGAGAACGATGCCGAACATATGCGACGATACGGAAGGAAATTACAGTAAACAGTTTAATTCTGCTGCTCGTGTACTCATTAAAATATATTTGTTTCACTTTGCTCTCTCTCTCTCTCTCTCTCTCTCTCTCTCTCTCTCTCTCTCTCACTTCATTATCCTCGATTTATCTGGTTTCTCTGGACACTTCCTGTTGTTGTTTTATTTTGTGCTAGAAAGGCGAAATATTGGCAGTGGAAATGTGGCTTTACTACCCTAATTGACGCTCAGATTGTACAGTAATTTCTTCTGAATCGTCGCGCAGATTCTGCACGAAAATGGACAATTTGAAAAGAGAAGGTAGGATTAGTCCAGCCTTGCGGCTCGTTTTTATAGTTGTTGGTAATCAATGACTATAAAAACGAGCCGCGAAACTTGAATAATCGTATCTCCCCTTCCCAAATTGTCCATTTTTGTACAGAGCTGAGCGTAAATTAGGGAGAACTTACATTAAAATGAATAATTTGGGGAGAGGAGGCACGATTATTCGAGCCTTGCGACTCGCTTTTATAGTTACTATAGTTATAGTATTATACAGGGTGTTAACGGATGGGTAGTATCATCGAGCAGGGGATGATTCTACGTGCGAAAATAAGTCGAAAAGAAGGAATAACATTTTTCTGTTCGAAGCTTCGTTTACGAGAAAATCGAGTTTGAAAATGTGTAGATAATAGCTTTATTATTAGTTACCTCACATTAACCCGAGAAAGATAACCTACGTCACAGAGGCGCCTGCGAAAGACTGTTGATTTTTGTTAATTTTTCATAGAGGACTAGTGATTTAAGTTTAAAATTACTTAAAATATAAAAAAATATAATATAAATGCATTTTATTTTTACAATAATGCCAAACCTTTAAAATGACTAGATTAACTTAAATAAATATCCATTGTTAGTATAAAATTGACGCCTTAGAAAAGCATGCGCCTCTGAAGCGTATGGTTATCTTTTACGTACGTTGTCATATGGTTATCTTTCTAGGGTTAAGTGAACTGTTGGGAGTGTCGACCCTGCTGACGTGTACATCTCTTCTTATCAGCGAATCATGGACTGATCCGACTTCATTTCATCGCTTCACTTGATCGAAAGCATTTTGTACTATAATTACTATAATCGTATCTCCTCTTCCGAAATTGTCCATTTTTGTGCAGAATCTGAGCGTCGATTAGAGAGAATTTTCTGTATTCGAATAAGGGAGAAATTACTATACTATGATTGCAATGTGCTTCTTTCTGATTTCAACCTTGTTATTGGTACTGCCGAGAAGGTGGGAGGGTGGGGCATCTTGAACGTTGTAAACAAACCAGCATCGACGCACGCGAGTGAAGCAACTGAGTAATCTAATAATAGTATATTAAAGGTATATATTTATTTCTCATATATGTGTTTTTATTCATATATAGGGTGGGCCGGAAGTACAATCAAGTACAACCGAGCAGGGGATAATTCCATGTGAAGAAATAAGAAAAAAATTTGGTATAACACTTTTTTATCCGGGGCTCCGTTTTTGTTATAGTACATATTATAGTTAATTATTTTTATAGTTCTTGACGATCGGTAACTATAAAAACGAGCCACAAGGCTCGAATAATCGTATCCCCTCTTCCCAAATTATTCATTTTTGTGTACAATCTGAGCGCCGATTAGGGAGAATTATTTATGAATATTTACGTATATATTTATGTACCTGAATTTACTAGCAAAGTCCATGAAATCGTATAGAAAAACTTGCGAGCCAACACTGAAGGAATTGCGAGCTTACTTTTCTATGAACACTATACCGATAAGGCGATCATTATGTCTGTGAAAAGCAGAATTTTATATGTTTAGATAAATTGCTGATGCAAGTGATACACCAAATCATTTCCGGCACCTTCTTTTAATAATTCCATTTAATCGGATATTATAATAATATAACAATGAATAAACGAAAATCGATGTCACAGAAAGATGTATGGAACAATATTGAAATCTGCATTTTATTGACATTCGAAAAACTTTTAAACACGGTATAATACGAATGCATCCATCAAGCATTCATACGAGAGTAGAAACGAAATATTGACGTTCCTTGAAATACGAGCCCTTTCACGTCTAATAACAAGCGCCGGACATATTTCAATCGAAACAGATTCTCCCGTCATCAAAATCAAGGAACAACAATGAATATACCTAAACGTAAAAGTACCAAAAATTATTTCCCCCTGATAGGGAGCTTATTAACCATTTGCACTCGAGTGGCGACTCTGAGGCGCCATTAAAATTGTTACATCACGTTCCAAGATAATTTTTATGTTATCAAAGTTTAGATATAAAAAATTGTTAAAAATCTAACTGTCGCATGAGTCGCAAGACTATACTCTCTTAACCCTTTGCACTCGAGTGGCGACTCCGAGGCACTATTAAAATTGTTACAGCACGTTCCAAGATAATTTTTATATTACAAAAATCTAGATGTAAAAAATTGTTAAAAATCTAACTGTTGTATGAGTCGCAAAACTATACTCTGAAGCACCATTAAAATTGTTACATCACGTTCCAAGATAATTTTTATATTACAAAAATCTAGACGTAAAAAATTGTTAAAAGTCTAACTGTTGTATGAGTCGCAAAACTATACTCTGAAGCACCATTAAAATTGTTACATCACGTTCCAAGATAATTTTTATATTACAAAAATCTAGACGTAAAAAATTGTTAAAAGTTTAATTGTTGTATGAGTCGCAAGACTAAATTTCATATGTATAAGTCAAAAAAAAATTAATTTAGATTTACAGTTAAAACAGCTCCGAGTGTAAATGGTTAAATAGCTTATTAAAAGAGCCCTGATCGATATCAACGCGCGGAAAACAACCAATCCACGAATTCCACTAAAATCTAAAAATTCCGTAACCGCCGATCGACGCAGAACGTTTCGCTGCCACGAGAAATCAAGAACAGCTCGCGAGGTCTCTCTCTCGGCGCGGCCGAAACAAAAACAGCCTACGAGAAAAATCGTCGCGTTCGAAAAGCCGGAAAAGTGGCAGGATCGCGGGAAAAGACATTCGGCCGCCTATTAACCCGAACAGAGGAGGGGATCGTGCGTTCTGTTATTCCGGTTCACCGGAGCGCCGGGAAGCTTCGGTTTTCGGTGGTAACGCGGACAACCGAGGCCGGGAAGATAGAAAGTACCGCTAGACGGAAGGTTGGTCCGGTCGGTAGCGTCTGGCGTAAGCCGCAGAATCGACCGTGGCGCGCTTCAACTCGCTCGGGGTAGAGTGGTGTCTCTGGCGTCGGTGTGCGCGAGAGCTGCGGAGCCTCTCATTCCCCTGCCGTAGTCCGTCTCGCGAGCTTCGAGGCGACGTAACGCGTTGTTCGCCGGCTAACTCGATCCTCGCCAGGGTTGTCCGCGCCTGGTCGCGAGTGTTGCAGTGTCTACGATCGGTCGGTCGGTCGTTCGCCGTTCGTCCGGCGCCTCTTATTCCCCCGAGATACTACACGCAGGTTAAAAACCCAGAGTACACGGAGAGTACTCTCTCTCCTCTCCCTCTCTCTCTCTCGCTCTCCGGGATAGCAGCCAGCTGACTGTGCACGGCCGTCTCGTGGAGTAACTCGCGGCGACAGCTCGACGCCCCGGACTCTCGCGTATCCTCGCAGCGAGAATGACGTTTGACTGGTCCGCCGTTGGTGGGATCGCCGATCCAGCCGCAAGCTGCTGGATCGAACGGAAGCGGCAAGAATCGCCGGCTGGACAGTGAGCCGACGTTGCTGGCCGAGCAGCAACGTGTGACACACGCGTCCGCCGACTCGATGATTGTGTTGTCAACAGTGCCCGTTGCCGTCAGTGATCGCGTGTTCTTGCGACAGCCTGTTGTGTCCCGCCTAGACAAAGTGCCCGAGGACCCACGGATCATCCAGACGGCGATTCGCGGTCGTAATCCTGGAACCGGTCTCGCGAGTACATCCGCCGACTCGTTCCGTAGACCCTGCCGATCGCGTGGCTCGTGTCCGTGTCGCTGGTTAGTCGTGTGATTGTGCGGTGGAGTACAGTGTGTAAAACGGAGGAGGAGGAGGAGGAGGACACCTCGTCGGTCCTACGGTCACGGTGAGTAGACGATCGCCGTGCGCCAATCCCCGGTCAATTAGCATTGACCCGGACCGTGATTTATGCGGGCCGAAGGATTATTCTTTTTTCCCTCGATTCGATCGGCGCCGTGCTTTAAACTGGACCGGCCCCGTTGACAGTGATGGATTCGGCCTCGGAGACCCGTTCTCCGTTGATGTTTCGCCGCGTCTGCGTGAAACTGATTTCGGTGTCGCTCAGAAATGGAAATTGCGGCTGCTGCGTGAGGGGCCGTGTCGTTAGGCTCCGTCTACTTCGGCTCGTTAACGTCCACCTGACGGCGGGCTTGACTGGCGTCGGTCTACTAGGGCGCTCCTCGGACAACTCTTCCTTCGTTCAGCCGCGTGCTCCGTTGTCTTCTTACGGCGATGCTTATGCACACGCACGGGGGCCTTCCAATCTCGTGCGAAAAGCGCGACGCTTCAATTAGGGATCGACGAGCGCGGGGCGATGCCGCTGTGGCGCCTCGGTTATCCGAATCTAATCAGGAGGACGTTCGCGTAACAAAAGAGTTACGTAGACACAGCGGTTTCCCGCATTCCTGTGTTGGATCTAGCTGCGAAGATGCGAGAAACGGAAGTCCGATATCGAAAGCTCCGATAACCGAGGTTTCGCTGTATTTTGGCACGATGAAGATCCAACATTCGTGAAGTCGAGCGTTTTACGATGACACCGAAATGTTTCGGAAACGTTGAATGATCTGCCGATAGATTGCACGCGGTGATCTATATCGTCTTTGATATCTGTTCCCGTTGATGTTACGGCGAGAAGTTCGCGAAACAATTTCCCGTGTATACGAACAACAGTTGCAACATTTGATATTCCTGAGCGAGGAGAATCGCTCTGGAGCGATTGTGCCGGGGACTTCGCAGGGCACACCGTCGAACCGACGATTGAATTCTGGGCGTACATCTGGGGAAATTTAGCGCGAAGCACGTTCCGTATGTGATTCGATGAAACTAATGCGGCCGGCTCTTACATATAACCTTGACATTTTAGAGCCGGCGTTCATACTCGAAGCCGGTGCTTAATACTCTGGCGTCGGTTGGCTCCGGTTTTATATATTCGGTCGCCGCGCGACGAACACGTTATTGTTAACCCTTTGCACCCGATTGGCGACTCCGAGGCGCCGTTAAAATTGACGATGTCACGTTCTAAATTAATTTCTACATTAGCATTATCGTGTTCTGATTAAATTGTTATGATCATTGAGAAAAGAAATGTATGTGCACGAAGCACCATTGTATTGAAATTAATGCAGATTTTATTTGACGAAGACCGACGAATAACAGTCTTCAACCAGCCTAACCAACCTCTTCAACCTAGCAGAAACGTTAAACATTGTGCTTTTTTTATCTAATTTACTCTGATATAACTATGAAAACAAACTCCTATCTTTCACGTTTTACGATCCGAGCGATTTAAATCCTTGGACTGAAAAGTCCAACGTCTTTCTAAGATACAGTAATTTCTCCCTAATTCGCGCTCAGATTGTGCACAAAAATGGACGATTTGGAAAGAGGAGATACGATTAGTCGAGTCTCGAGACCCGTTTTTATAGTCGTTGACGATCGGTGACTATAAAAACGAGCCGCAAAGTTATCATGCCTCGATCCATATTAAAAGAATCCCAGAGGAACTGTGAAATTTGTTTGGCATGCAAGTAAAAATTTAACAAACATATTTCATAAATACAAGAATTGTCAATATTGCGAAAAAAGTTATTTCACAAATCGAAATGCGTCGTGAAATTGAATGCGACCTACAGAAATCAAATTAATCCGAGAAACATTCGACGAATGTTAACATTGGAATAAAATCTTTTCACTCGATCGGTGACTCTGAGGCAGTATTAAAGTTTTCGATGTCACGTTCTAAAATAATGTTTACATTCGCAAAGTTTAGATTTGAAAAGATAGTTAAGAGCGTAACCGTAGCGCGAGTCGCAAGAGTCGATCTCATGTGCATAAAATGCGCGTTGTCGTGTGAAATAAAAATACTACACACACACACACACACACACAAGTCGGAAAAATTATTTTAGATTTACAGTTGAAATAGCTTCGAGTGCAAAGGGTTAATATTCTGTTGCGAGCTGTTCGTTGTTCCATTTTCTTGTAGAAACTCGATCCGTTTAACCGGAATGATCAATCCTCGTCCATTTAGTATAACGAATGCTTGATTATTCTCCTAAGTGACTTCGACGCTTCGTTCCCTCTTCTCTGTTCACATTTTCCCCAAATTGATTGTTTAAACACCGCGACAAGAAATAAATTGATTTGTCGGAACCAGAAACCGATAAGATACATCCTCAGTTTTTTCACGTGGCACACTATTTTGCCCGAATCGATGTTCAAAGAAAATTGATCGTTCCATCGAGTCAGCAATTAGCGATGATCCTAGAGCAATCGTTACGAATTCCGATCGCAGGGTCGAGCGTTCGTCGTTGTTTCTGACCGATGGATTGCGAGCCGGGAACTTTTCAATCGTTCCCGCGTGCATTGAAAAATGCGCGAGGCAACTGTTCGCATAACTCCGGCGCTAAGAATTTGCTTTTCGATCAACGGCGCACGTCTCCTGTATAAATCTCGCGTGTCAAGCGATTCTACGGCGAGCGGCACGTATTTATCGCGCGCGTTTGTGCGGCATTCTAATGGGGGGAAAGGCCGCGAGCTTTCATAAATTCGGTGGGAGAATGCATCGAGTCGGTGTATCGAGACTTTATAGGCAAGAAGGCGGGGCAGGGGGGGACGGCGGAGGGCGGGTGGACGGCTTGGGGTTGCACGCGACAATGTATTAGCCGGGGATTCCATCAATAATTTGCATAAACCGACGGCGAAATTTATGTGTACGCGACGGCGCGATGTTACGCGCGAACTTGAAAGTGCATTTACAAGTTACGTCACCGAGATTTATGCGGCCATTAGACCGCAGCAACGTCTTAATTACGCGCCGGGGCCCCGTTCCGCGCGCGAGGACCAATTAAAACATGCAAAAAGACAAATGTATGTAATCCGACGCGCCGCGCCGCGACGCGACGCCGATCGAAACAGTGGAAATTTATGCCCGAGGACCGGGACGTTATCGACGCTGGTTATAAATGCTGTCCATCGCAGCGACCGTTTTCCGTGTCGTCCATTTTTGTTCCCCGCTTCATGCAAAATTCTGCCCGCTGGCTTTTCCCGGCATGGCATCGTCCCGTGTTTTTCGGTCGCCGTTTCACCCGGTTCCCGCGCTTTTATGCTTGTAAATTTTATTTCGTGGACTCTCGCGCGGATCCTGTCCTTCCCTCCCACCCTCCCCCACCCCCTTGCCGATCCGCCGCGGCAACTTCCAAAATGGCGACCCGGAAACGCGATTAATGGAAAAGTTGGCGCACCCTTGCAAATTATGGGCCATTCAAGCGAGAAATCTCTTCCCAGTTTCGGAATCCGCCGTAGTTTTCCACTTTTAGCTGGCTCCGCTTCTTCCTTCGTTTCTTCTTGATCTTTTTCGTTCTCCAGCGTCGCTTTTTTCGCTCGCTTCCTTCTCTGATCCATCTTCCGTCCCCGACGTCTCTCTCACCCGACGATACAATGCACTCTGTTCGATCTTTTGCCTTTCTCCGACGGCGGGCTTGCTATCTGTTCGAAATTTGTTGCGGGACGGTCTCTCGCCTCTCTCGAAGAAATTGATACCGATTCGACGACGCGACTCGCTCGATTCTGGATCGAGTTAGGTGTAGTACTAGAATCAGGAAACAGAAAGGTTCCAATCTCCTTACCGACAGCGCCGGATTTCTCTGCCGTTCCGAGTCGCATAATCATTTTCTCGCCTTCCGGCTCGCTTAATGTGCGTGCCCTTTGAATACAAATTGTTCGTTAAAACTTCGCTCGCTCGACGCTACCGGAAAACTTTCGGATGCTCGCTCGATCTCTAACTCTCGGATAACTCGCAGATCTTTGGATAAAGATCGCCATCGACGCGATAAGAGTCACGCATTTTGGCAGAATTGTTGCGTTTCGTGCGTACAGGCATCGTTGCGGAGGCCAGCGGTGGTAACACCGACATTCAATTTACAATACACGTTCAGATTGCGCGCAAAAGTGGACAATTTGGGAAAAGAAGATACGATTATTCGAGCCTTGCCACTCCTTTTTATAGTTACGAAATTGTTGACGACTATAAAAACGAGCCGCAAAGCTCGAATAATCCCAAATTGTCAATTTTTGTGCAGAATCTGAGCGTCAATTAGAGAGAATTTACTGTACCCATGGATATCGTTACAGAAAGCACCATAAATTACGACCGAATGTTTGGATGACTGGGCCGCGATCGTATAGCTACTCAACCGTTGGCGAATAATTTTAATGAAAAATCGTGCAATTCAGTGCAACGGGAAGATTAATGTATCTAGATAAAGTAGCATTGAAAACACGATTGAAAAGATTAATGAACAGCTGAAGTTTAGCCTGGATAAAGCTTCGGAGCGTTGATAGGGCAAGTCCGATGAATAGATTACTGATTTTACACGATCATGCAAATAGAGAAGTCGTTTAGAAAAATGTAAAATTATTATCGTGTTTCGATCAATTTGTTATAATCATTGAGAAAAGAAACGTATGTGCGTGAAGCACCTCTGTACTGAAATTAATGCAGACTACATATATTTGAAGACTGATGAATAACAGTCTTCAACCAATTAGCAGAAACGTTGAACATTGTGCTTTTTTATATCTAATTTACTCTAATATAACTATGAAAACAAACTCCTATCTTTCACGTTTTACGGTCCGAGCGATTTAAATCCTTGGACTGAAAAGTCCAACGTCTTTCTAAGATACAGTAATTTCTCCCTAATTCGCGCTCAGATTGCGCACAAAAATGGACGATTTGGAAAGAGGAGATACGATTAGTCGAGCCTCGAGGCCCGTTTTTATAGTTGTTGACGATCGGTGACTGTAAAAACGAGCAGCAAAGTTATCATGCCTCGATCCATATTA